GGGCATCAGTGAACAATGGTGCAATACTTTACAGGCTCCCAAATAATGTGCATTATTTTTTGTTAAAAGGCAAACTTATTCTTTAAACCAAGTTTGCGTTCTTCTCTAATGCTCTGGAACCAAATTTGTAATGCCATTTATAATAACAAGAAAGAAAGGTGTCATAAGGAGACTTTTTCAGACTATCATTGCCGACTCCTTTGGAGGTTGGCTACCCAGTTGAAATGGCGATTCTCTGGTGTAATTCAAAACTCCAGGCTAAAAAAAAAAAAAAAAAAAAAAAAAAAAAAAAACACACAATGGAAGCTATTTTAACTATCAAAGGACTCATTCACACAGGCTGCCAGTGGGGCAGTAAAAGCAGGTGATAATTCCACCCCCCCCAACCCGAACGACCACCTGAACACAAAAAAAAGGCAGCTTTTTGTAGCTGTACACAGGACACGGCAGTGATGCTTCACTTCGTGGCCATGGCAAAAATAAAAACATGTCTAATATGGCTGGTGGTATGGCTGGTGGTATGGCTGCCGAACACGACCCATTCAGATGAATAGGGCTGTAATGCAACCACATGCAGTGCAATGCATGTGGTAGCAATGTGGTAGGTCTGTATTTCGAGGGTTAAAATAGGCGGTGCGGAGGCTGCATTTTGCCTCCTCACTGTCTGCCATAAGCCAGCTTAAAAGCGATCCGCTAAATATCAACACTCAGAAAGGCGGCAATATTAGTCGTAGGAGGGAATGGGCCTGAAGGATTTGCATTTTTGTCCCTCCATTCCTGGGAGAGGCATTAAGGCTGGCCATACACTATACAATTTTTTGTCCAATTTCCTTTAGATTTACCTTCAACTATGTAGTGCAAGGGTCTGCCTAATTGGATAGAATTAAAGTGTTGTTTATGTTGACCTCATATTATATGGTTTTTGGTAAATCTAAAGCAAAACAGGCTGGCCATACATCATACAATTTTCTTGAGATTTTTGCTTTAGATTTACCAAAAACCATATAATATGAGGTCAACCCTAAACAACACTTTCAATTGTATCCAATTAAGCAGAACCTTGCACTACATAGTTGAAGGTAAATCTAAAGGAAATTGGGCAGAAATTGGACAGAAAATTGTATAGTGTACGGCCAGCCTTAGCCTGTGACTGGACAGTGAAGGAGCCTCCTTACATGCAGTATTTCAGGCTTACCTGGTAATTCACACTTCTTCCATATTTACACTTCTCCTTGCTATCAGTGACAAGACATGGAAGCATCCCCTCCTGGCATGAATTGCTGCACAGCCACAAATCGTATTCACTGGCTACTCATATACAATTACATTGTCATCATATGTGGCTCAGCATTATTTGAAATATAATAAGTGCCTCATTCAGAATTCAGATATGAACAAGCACACCATGGAAATACTCTTGCGATTCCTACTAAACTCAGGAGGTGATCACCCTTCCTGAACTGCCAGAAAGCTTTTTCTGACCTGTAGTAGGGTCTGGATGAGGGGGTTACCACTTCCTAAAAAACAGTCACCAGTAATGAAAAGAAATGAATGGCTTGTAAACCAATACTCAGTGGAGACCATTTGCAAAAAAAAAAAATACATTTAAAACAAAAGTGGAGAACTTGAAGTGGTAAAGACCAACCAAAAGCTCCAATTTAATCAGCTACTGTATATTCAGTACATTCTCTGTGAAGCAAAATAAAAAAGGTGGTCTTTTGTTTAGATAACAAACCACAGCTTGAGTAGAAATTCATGTTCCCTGCCTGTATGCCATTGAGAAAGACTCTTCCTCCATGTGTAAAAGCAGTGGTTTCTCTCCAGCATGCTTCCAGCCGAGTCAGAGCTAGAGCTTTCCAATCCGAAGCAAGTTTAAACTTTGCAAATTGCAAAAGGTATATGCATGACTTAGCAGGGAGCAGGTCAGACCTAAGCAGAGAGACCTCTGTTTTCACAGAGAAAGCAAGGGTAATTATCTGTAGCATGCTGGCAAGGGACAGGCTTTTCTACTCAGGCTGCACCTGCTTTAAAAAAAAAATTAAAATTAAAAAAATTATTATTATTAAGAATAACAACAATAATCCTTTACATGCCTTTTGTTTAGATGCATCTGAATGTATTTAGCTGCATTAAACCAAGATTAATTGGGTTTTTTTTAAAAAAAAAAGTAACACATGTTGACTGCTTCAGGCAACTCACCACCTCACTTCAGAATTCTTTGAACCTTTTTTATTATTATTATTATTATTATTATTATTATTCAGATCCTATATATTCACCTTTAAAATGTGACCCATATCTACTGTGGACACAAGAACTTACAAGTACATAAAACCGCACATGGGTTATAATATAAGCACCACTATGAGTTTATTCTAACAGTAATCTGTAAGCGATTTGTTTTATCATCACTGCACCATTTCATTAGAGGATGTGCCAGCTGGGGTTTAGCTGTGCAGTGGTTTCCCACTAATCTGCTTACAATGCAGTCACTCAGTCAATACATTCAAACAGCCTCTCTACAAAAGACATTTTCCAAGTAGTACAAACATTACCAATGCGGTATATTTTATTAGAACATACTTTTTTTTATTTAAACTGAACACGTAAAATATAGTGTGATGCAAGGGTGTAGTTTTGGGTGACAACTTGTTTACCACTACTCAATCAGTAAGTAAGCACAGTAAGAGGTTAACAAAAAGATATGATATATATATATATATATATATAATATATAATCACACACACACTATAGAAAAGAATAATCCCCCTTTAAAATAATCACGTGTTGTTGCTTTGCAGTCTGAACTGAGGATAGACAGTTTTTGTTCTATCCAGCTTTAGTTGATCCTGGAAGTCATCATCCCACAATAGGAAGTTTCTGAACAATGGCCTCCATGGCAGAATCACCAAGTATTTTGTTTAGTTAAAAAAAAAAAAAAAAAAAAAAAAAAGACTAAAACCATCTTTTGAAATTACAGTGACTGTAGTGATTGGGTTTAGATCAACCTTTAGTCACTGCACAGGCTGATATAGAATTACTAGGAATTACTGTGGAAATATGCCAACTACTACTGCCAACTTGCTTTTATGAAGGTAATATCTTCACTGATCTCTTTCTTAAAGTGATATTAAAGGTTTGATTTTTTTTTTCTTAAACAAACATGTCATACTTACCTGCTCTGTGTAATGGTGTTGCACAGAGCAGCCCCAATCCTCTTCTTCTTGGGTCCCCCGATAGCGCTCCTCCCCCTTGACCAGTGTTCCCAATAGTAAGCTACTTGCTATGGGAGCACTGATGTGTGCTCGCACCTGAGTCCTGCTCTGTGTGTCCACAAGACACACAGAGCCGCAGTTCATCTCCCGCTGCTGTGTCTCAGCCAGTGATGAGAAGAGAGACCCAGAACAGCTGAGGCTCCTGTGCACATTGCTGGATCAAGAGGGGGCTTAGGTGAGTATTCGAGGGGCTGTGGGTTGAGCAGCACACAGGTTTTTTACCTTCATGCTAGAATGCATGAAGGTAACAAACCTTCAGCCTTTAAAACCATTTTAACTTTGCCTCCAAATGGACAAGTAAATCAGCAACCCAGAACCAGCAAGTACATCTGGTTTGCACAGTGACTCACTGTGTAGTAAAAGAAGCATAAAGAATAAACTTGGAACTTTTTACTTTACCAGGGGTCAGCACTTACAGATTCAATAATTCCATCCAGACAGGTACCTTTGAGGGAGAGGGGAAATGTCAAGAAGGATGGATGTCCTAAAATGGACATGACAGGCCATCCTCTTAGTTAGGAAAAAGGGCAAACTTTCTATGCAAAAGTGGTAGCTGTAAAAATAGTCATTTCTGGAAAAAAGCATAAAAATTTAAAATGTCAAACTTAGGCATGAAAAATATGTTTAAAAAAAAAGGGGAAAATTATTAATAAAAAAAAAAAGTTAGAAAATAAATGCATTAAGGGTTCTATACTGAATTGGCTTGGTTCATTATGCTGACATTCAGGCTAAATAAATAAATATTGTCTCACCAGTTCTCAGCCAGGGTTCCTCCAGAAGTTTCTAGAGGTTTGTTACTCTAGCAGTGGCAGACTGGCCTCCCATCTGACAATGCCTGCACACCTCTGGGACAGCATCTCTTGGCCTGGTCAGTGGCATGCCTCCAATGATCTTAGTAGCCATCTTTAAGGGTGGCATTCTTATTGGCCAACGATGTAAGAAGGCATTTCTCCACTGACCACTGTAAAGGACCCCCTGTGATTTTTTTTTTTTCTAGTCATTGTCACTTGTGATTTCAACTTTTTGATTATTTTGCAAATGTTTTGTGGTTATAACTTTAAAATAATTTTATTTAGAGCATTTTAGCGTTACAAAGGATCCAACATGAATGTTAAATACTCTAGGTGTGCCATATTTTTATTCTTTTATTATTTGTATCACTTACTGATATTAATAGCAAAATGAGATGTAGGTATAGTTTTACCAGGTGTTCTCTGAGACCTGTGAATTATTTTAAAGGTTCCTCTGCAAAAAAGGGTTACAGGCTGGTCTAAATACAAGAGCCGTATGTATTCTTACTTGAATCTTGGTAATTATGTATTTCTCCAGATATGTGTAATGAACTAGCCTGAAGCAACTCCTCACCTTTGCCTCTCTACAGGGGTTTCCTGTAATAAAGGCCAATCACTGCTATGCTCACTCCTTGTGCAGGGTAACTGGTCTTGTCTCCGCCCCATCCTGTAACTATTTTTTGCAGGTGGCCTGTAGTGGGTGGAGCCTGCTGGGTCCCTCCCACAGCTCTGCTCTCTGCACAGGCTATGTACACCACAGTGATGATGTCACCACTACTTTTACAAAGTAATATTAGTGTCTGCAAAGGTGTTAAGTTCATATAAAATGGTTTTATATGCTTTGTGGCTATAGAAGAAATCATTTACTGAATAATTTTGTGCCTTCCCTGACAATATACTATATAAAGTGTCTATGAAAGAAAAGTACAGAACCTGGACGACAGGCTTGATAAAGCTCTGTTTAGGACCTCTGGAGTGTCATCGGTTGGCGTGCCTTGTTGAGTACCGGCAGGGTCGGTTTTACTGTCGCTGTCAGATGCTGTCTCGCCATCAAGTTTGGTATCAGGTTCAATTTCCTGAAAGAAAACACAACATGGTTTACTTACAAACACATCCCATACGTTCTATACAGTATAATCATATATACAATCCACATCTATCACACAAGATAGGTGAAGCCTCTCTCAGTTCTTGTATCAGAGTTTTAGTATGGCGGGTTTTTAACTGTGCACACTAAACATTTCTGCAATTCCTTGAACTCATTGACATGTTAGATATTCAGGACAGTCCTCCAATATCTCACTCTGAGGGGTAGAATGTTACTTTTGGGCTAAAGGAAACTCTTACTGGCAATCAGTGCAACATAATGAATTCAAAGATGTGATTTTCTGCAAGTGCTTAAAATAATTCAGAAGCATATTGGCCTGTATCACTAGGCTTTTGTTGGCTTTAAGTGGGATCTGCATTCCAACAGAAGCCTTTGGGAGCTCTAAATCTGCTAAAGCAGGCCAAATGCAGGTCAGAAGGTGGTCAAAAGCAAGTCAAATGAATCTATCAATGAATTCTGAAAGATCTCAGAGGTGTGTCAAACTTATGCCAATGGACACAAGCCCAAAGCAAGTTGACATAGACCCTTAGGCTGGCCATACATTATGCAATTTTCAACCCATGGTTGATGGAGAGAAAAACAAAAAAAAAAAAAAAAAAAAAATCACTTAATTCCCCGTTCAATACAGTCAGTGTTGGTGGGGGAATCCCTCCCACTGCGCTATTGTATTCTGACAGCAGTAGGTTTCCCTGCTGCCAAAAACACAGCAATCGTACAAAAATAAAGAAGACAGGCTGGTTAAACTGAAGTTGATCATTGGATCAACTAGCATAAGGAATAAACTATTCTGTCTCATGAAGTATAAGACAACACGGGGCACTCAATGAAATTCAGCAGTTTAATTAGAGGGTTTTTCACTGTCAGGGCGGTAAGGATGTGGAACGCTCTTCCTCAATTGGTGGTGTCAGCGGGAAGTATCGGTAGTTTCAAAAAAACTCTTGGATGTGCATTTTAGTGAACACATATACAGGGATATGGGATATGAGTTTTTGACATGAGCACATACCCCCGCACAGGTTGAACTGAATGGACTCGTGTCTTTATTCGACCTTACCAACTGTGACTACAGTACAACCAGCCTGCCTATAGATGGATCAAAATTTGTTCGGTTCCTGCTGAACTGGTTGAATTTTGTTCCGTCTATGGGTGGCTTTAGACTACAACTACCACGTAGTTGGGCCTTTGGATATAGACTCATACAACAACAGAATTCCTTAATTCAAAGACACAATAAGACAATTACCGTACATAATGTTACATACATTTCCAGCGTATGTATTACAAAGCTAATAGTACCTGATCCAAACCGGGGCATACATCTATGTATGTATGTGTTGTGACAGTAGCGACCCTACAAAAAAATTTCCACGTTTTCACAGCATAAAAGGTGGTGACAAAGTAATTTCCAACTCATAACTGTAAAAGTTTTCCATGCAAAAGCTGCAGACACCGGAAATTTCCAATCATATTAAAACAGCCGAAAAAGGTTTAAATACAGAAATTTTTACATCCTATGTTTGCACAAATAAATTCTTAAACCAACATCTAGAAACAGTATACTTTCTTTAAGCAACTCTACCTTTCATTATTACAAAGGTGTCCGTGAGCTTTAAAAGAGATATTAAAGGCTCAGGTTTAAAAAAACAAATATATATATATATATATATATATATATATATATATATATATATATATATATATATATATCTATATCTATATCGAGAGAGATTGAGAGAGAGAGAGATCGAGAGAGAGATCGAGAGATCTCATGTCATACTTACCTGCTCTGTGCAACAGAGCAGCCTTGAGCCTCCTTTTCTCGGGTCCCCCAATGGTGCTCCTGGGCCACATGCGGAGTGCCCCAGAGCAAGCTGCCTGCTCTGGGGGGGGGGGCACTTGTGTGTGCTATCTCCCGAACCCTGCTCTGTGTGTCTATAAGACACAGAGCACGGCTCAGCCCTGCCCCCCGCTCACTCCTCACTACCTGTGATTGACAGCAGGGGGGCCATGGGCTCCCCCTGCTGTGTCTGAGCCAATGAGGGGAGAAAAGACCAGGGAGAGCCAAAGCTTCTGTGCACAGCGCTGGATCAAGACTGGGCTCAGGTAAGTATTGAGGGGGCTGTGGGTAGAGCAGCACACAGATTTTTTTACCTTCATGCAAAGAATGCATGAAGGTAAAAAACCTTCAGCCTTAACTATAACCAGCCATTTTTGCCTGGCCTGAGATCTTTTTAGTCTGCTGCAGGCAGGAGAAAACATTTTCTCAGTCTCCTTTCCCCGGTGGTCACACTGCAACCTTATTCACAAGGAGAGAAGCTACAGTAAGGGGTGCATCTGTGTCAGACATTTGCAAACACAGCCAAGAAGTGCACCCGTACTGTGATTTATATGACTGCATCATCACTAAGCAGCATATCACCCTGGACATTTTCTAAATAAAGATGGTGCTTTCATTCTGGAGAGAAGAGTAGGTGAAGGCATTGTCAGGAGGCATACGGTGATCGGTAAGGGTTATGTATTACTTTGCATGCACTAAACATAACAAATATAGATGAAGCAAAAGCCACTTTAAAATTTGCTCCAATCTGTGAATAGGAGGAGTTTATAAAACGCTTTCACAGATTGCAAGACTCAAGTAGTATCAGACATTATGATGCTAATGTTGGCTTGCCAGAAACAAAACATGAATGTAATCATTTGTATGTTGACTTAGGAAGTCCTGGTTTGCAGGGGAAAATAACCCTCTCTACACATTTGCTTAGAATCCTCCAGCCCCGCACCTGCTGCTTACTGGAAGCTACATGGGTTTACATATCTATCCAGAACACAAGTGGAAAAAAAATGGCAAACAACGTGAGGCACTATCTAGGCCAGGGGTCTCCAAAGCTTCTAAACAAAGAGCCAGTTTAGTGTCCTTAAGACTTTGAGGGGGCCAAACTGTGGCCAGTGAAAGTAGAAAATGCCCTGGCTTCAATGGGAGTAAACAATGGCCCATCATTAGTGGGAGGAATATTGCCCATTGTTGGGACCAGGGGAAAGAATAGTGCCCCATGGTTGGTGTCAACGGGAAGAATAGTGCCCTGCCATTGGTGTCACTGGCAGGAATAGTGTCCCATTGTTGGGATCGTTGGTAGGATTGGTGCCTTATTGTTGGTATCAGTGACAGGGATTATGCCCAGTTGTTAATCTCAGTGGTAGGAATAGTGCCCAAAGGGCCAGATAGATGCAAGCAAAAGGTCACATCTGGCCCCGGGCCGCAGTTTGGAGACCACTGATTTAGGTACACATACCGTGTCGATGCATTCATGTGCATGGGAGCGTGTTTTTACATTGGTATGTGTACAACTTTCTCTGTAAGAAAGTGATGACATTGCTTGTACTTAAAAGTAGTAACACAACACATAACAAAGCTTGTGATACACTATTAAAATTTTGTTCTAAGAACGTTTATTTTTCGAATCACTAGTGAGGTCCTATCAACATTCATTTTCGATTGCAGTGACAATTAGCAAACGTTAAAAGCAAACAAAATCTTGAACGGCATTCCAGAGAAATTTTGTACAAATTTTCTTATAATTTTTTTTGTTTTTAAAAATGTTATAGTGTATACCCAGCTTAAAGTGGAACTTCATCTACAGCCAACTTCCCATAGTAAAAAAGCTGCTGGCACCAGGGTCCCAAAGACCAGCTGAAGAAACAGACCGGGTGAAGACAGCGCTGGATCCCTAGGACAGGTAAGTGTCCTTATATTAACCGCTTCCCGTGCGCCCTATAGCAGAAGTACTGCTACAGGGTGGCAGGGCTGCGCAAAATCATGTGATTTTTGCACTTCCGGGTAGGGGGCTCTCGTGCCACCCTACCCGTGCCACCATTGGCGGCTACAGTTGTCAATCACCGAGTCCCGACCAGAGATTCCTCGCCAGCACCCAGCGATTGCCAAGTATCACTGACTGGGGAGAGACCTCTGTGTAAACACAGGTCTCTCTCCTGCCAGCAAGGACATGCTGCTGTGTATTTATCTGTGCAGAGAAATACACAGCAGTATGTTTCCCTAGTAAAACACACACAGCACACAGTAAAACAGCACAATGTTAACCCTTTCCTGCCCAGTGTTATTAGTACAGTATCAGTGCTTTTAATTAGCACTGATAACTGTATTATTGTCATTGTGAGGTCATTGTCAGTTAAGTCAGTTCTCCCCCAGTGTCAGAATGCCCGCCGCAGTCCTGCTATAAGTCGCTGATCACCACCATTACTAGTATAAAAAAAATAAAATAAATAAATTACAGTATATTTACCACCATTTGTATATGCCATACCTATGTAAATCAATTAATTTACATGTATTGGGATTTTTTTTTTTTTTATAGCAAAGACATGTAGCATAATACATTTTGATCTACATTCATAAAGAAATGTGATTTTTTTTTTTTTTTTTTTAACTGGATATGTTTTATAGCAAAAAGTCAAAAATATTGTTTTTTTTTCAACATTGGTCAGTATATTTGTTTATAGCGCAAAAAAAAAAATTAAAAAAAAACGCATAGGTGATCAAATACCACTGAAAGAAATCTCCATTTGTGGGCAAAAAAGGAAATACATTTAGTTTGGGTGCAGTGTTGCATGACCGCGCAATTGTCAGTTAAATTAACAGCGCCAGATTGCAAAAAATGGCCTGGTCAGGAGGGGGGGGGGGGGGGGGGGGGATAAATCGTCTGGAGGGCAAGTGTTTAAAAGTCATCAACTACAGTATTTGTAGCTGCGGACTTTTAATTTTTGGGAGTGCATTGATGATCCTCTTTAAGGAGGGTAGAATATATCATTTGAGACCAATTCACTATCGTAGATGTCAAAAACTTGAGCTGCTGAACTTTAAACCATACAGTTGTATGTATCCGACTCCACCTCCCCGTTTTCGAAGCCTTGCCATTATGCCACTAATTATGGCAGATTACAGGGAGTTATAGG